CAGACTTTGCGTTACTTCCACAAGTAACAGAGTAGCACAGTGGTGTCTTGTCTTGTAAATTTGCGATACCCGTGCACATTACAATTTTCAAAATTTGGATAATATATGCCATTTAAGTTTAGGTGAAAGAGGGAAAGAATGAGAATGGTAAATATTAGTTCGGTGGCAGTTTATTTTCAATTAGTATAACCCAAAGCTTCACATAAAAGTAGAAAGTTATAATGAATAAATGTTACACTGCAATATGAAGGTATTTCAATTCAGAGAAACATGATTACAGTAATGAAAGAAGATAATTAATCAATATACAATAATTATACACAGAGCCTGATTAATGCTGAGGTCGATGTGTTCGCGATATATTTGAAGTTGACTTGGAGCCTATTTCGCATCTTTTTTGAGCAAATGACAAACTGTTGCTGCGTAGGTCGATGGCACACCTTCTCATTTGTAACCTTATCTCGCTATTGAAAAGAGCATAGACTATGCAGTTCATACAATCTATAATATTCTTAAATAGAAGATTTCAAGATCTTTTATTACAAAACTCACTAGCGCAAAGGAGACCGACAAGGTAGAAAGGTCCTATATATTCGAATAAGGAAAAACCAAACAACTCCGCGCCACCGACAATCACACTAGGAACTGTGAGGCAAACTAGGGAGCTGAGCAAAAAACTTGTTGATGACCTATTCGCCTAAAAATAAATATTAGTCATATTTGAAAAATGAGAATATCGAATCCCACTAGATTTCCAATTATTTTCTTCTCTTCCAAACAATGACCTTTAATTCTTTCAACATAAAGTTTTACCATTTGTGCAACTCTAGGAGTGACCTTAGTTAGATGTAGCAGAACTCGCGCAATGCTGGTAACGCATTTTTTACCAGCAAAAATCTTCTCATAAAAGGAAGGAAGAGCGATCTTCTGAATAAAAACCTTGAATAGTGCGACAATCAAATATTGAAAGGTTGAAGCCTGCTTCATATGTAGATTAGCGCCTTATAAGTATGTTAGTCTTTGTTGGAGGTGCTTTTTACTGCTTATTTACAAGAAAAGTTGACTTGGTGCATCTTCTTTA